AGCATTCCCAGAGACTATCCAGGAATTAGGATGGGCTTTAAGCCCAATGACAAGTGTCCTTTTAAAAGAAAGGTAGTCAGAGATTTGAGACACAGATGACACAGGATCGAGGTCACATGAAGATGAAGAAGAGTCTGGAGTGATGCATCTGTAAGCCACAGAATGTCAGCACTTGCCCAAAGCTAGAAGAGGCCAGGGAGAGAGTCATCTGCTGGCCTACAAGATACATTTTTGTTGTTTTTAAGCCACCAAAGGCATGGTGATTTGTATGGTAGTGCTAGAAAAGTAACAATGCAAAACCACCTAGTCGCCAACCCCCAGATCCCTGCCATCTCTCATTTTGTAATACTATTTGATTCCATTGACTGTTTCCTTTTTGAGATATTTCCCAATTCCACCTACTTGCCATTGTACTTCTTTTCATTTTAGGGCTCCTGGCCAGATTTCAGCTCCTGCTTAACCTCTGAATGTCTGGTTGTATCCCTTTATATTCTCTCAAGTATTCACTTATATACCTGTGGCTCTAAATAACATTACAAATCAATGCCTCCAAGTTACAATGCCTGCTTTACAGAGCAGCATAACCCCTCTCCCCACCTACCTACATGAGCAAACATACATGCACAGAACTGAACTTTTATTTATTTTTTTAACTTTTGTTTGCACTTCATGCTGAATTTATATCTCAGTACACTTTTCTTTGTTTGCTTTCTTCTGGGATATCTGTTTTAGGGTCCTTCTTTTTCAGTAAGGATCATGTTTAGGTTAATCTGACCATGAGCTCTGCCAGTACAATGCAAATCTTGGTTTGCCTGAATGTGCTAATAGACACTGAATTCACATTTTAACATCCTCTTCACTATCTAAGTGGCAGACACTGAATTTATTAATTTCTTTCCTTCAAGCAGTGAATAGCTAATCATTCAGGTGTTTCTGAGAGCTAGAGATAAATTCAACTGGGAATTTATTATCCCAGTGGAGTATTCCAAATTGTGTCAATTTTTATATGATTTGTCATTATTCTATAGTAATTAAGTACACATTTTCTTTCCTCCTCTTTCCTTTCTTTTACTTCCTTTTTTTTTTTTTTGTCGGTTGTGGGTCTTGAACTCTGGGCTTGGGTGCTATCCCTCAGCTCTTCAGCTCAAGGCGAGCACTCTACCGCTTGAGCCACAGCGCCACTTCTGGTTTTCTAGTGGTTTATTAGAGATAAGAGTCTGACGGACTTTCCTGCCTGGGCTAGCTTTGAACCAGTGATCCTCAGATCTCAGACTCCTGAGTAACTAGGATTACAGGTGTGAGCCACCGGCTCCTTTCCTTTTTTTAAGATGTCAGTCCTGGGGCTTGAACTCAGGGTCTGGGTGCTGTCCCTGAGCCTTTTTGTATTCAAAGGCTAGTGCTCTACCACGTAAGTCATAGTGCCACTTCTGGCTTTTTCTGAGTAGTTTTTTGAGATAAGAATCTCATGGAGTTTTCTGCCAGGGCTGGCTTTGATCCATGATCCTCAGATCTCAGCCTCCTGAGTAGCTAGGATTACAGGCGTGAGCCACAGGCACCCGACTTCTGTCTCTCCGTCCTTTCCTTTCCTTCCTTCCTTCCTTTTTTTTTCTAGATTGGAATTTGAACTTAGGGCCTTGTGCTCAGTTGGCTTGCTCACTCAGCTGGTACTCTACCAGTTGAGACATACCTCCAGCCCTGAATTTTTGTTGGTTATTTTGAAGATGAAGTCTTCAGACATTTTCTAGTTGGCTGGCTTTGAACTATAATCCTCTGGATCCCAGCCTCCTGAATAGGTAGGATTAGGGATGTGACCTACTGGTGCCCAACTAAAAGTATATTTTCAACAACTGTGCCCTTAAAAGTCACATCTAAGCACTTAAGTTTGGTATTACTCTCTGCCTTCTCAGGCACAAGCAGCAAAAAAGTTCATCATTCTTTTTGGGTTATAGACTTTTTGTTCAGCCTTGCAGTTTGACCTGGGTACACACAATCAATTTTACCATTGTAGTGATGGAACAGAACACATTACTTCAGTAAGTGTAACTTTTCAGATAGGTATCTCCTTGATGGTTTAGGAAATCTCAGGCAAGCATGAAAATTTGAGCCTCTTGACTTACATGAATTTGTAGGGCTTTCTGAATCATTTTTAGTGATCAGCTCTTAGCTGCTTATGTGGAAAGCACAAAGCAGAATTTCTGATTTTCACTAAACACTATTCCTGCAGTTCCCCTTTAAAAAAAAAAAATCTCATCTTGCTTTGGTTTTTAAGCCTCTGAAAAAATCCCAACTGTTTTATTAGGAATCTTGGCTAGGTGTGGTGCTGCATATCTGTAATCCAAGCACTCAAATCATGAGTTCAAGGCCAGCCTGAGACCCTATCAAAGAAAGAAAAAAAGAAGAAAGATGCCAGGCCCTGGTGGCTCATACCTTTAATCCTTGCCACTCAGGAGGCTGAGGATCTGAGGATCAAAGTGAGCCAAAGTTCAAAGCCAGTCTGGGCAGGAAAGTCTATGAGACTCTTTTTTTTGTGTGTGTGTGTGTGGGGGGGGGAAGTAAACTATGGCTCAAGTGGTAGAAGCACTAACTTTGAGCATAAAAGCCTTAGGACCTGGGTGTTGTCCCTGAGCTTTTGTGCTCAAGGATGGTGCTCTACCACTTGAGCCACAGCTATATTTGTTCTTTTTTTGATGGTTAATTGGGTAAAAATTTCACATTTTTGCCTAGGATGGCTTTGAACTGTGATCCTCAGATCTCAGCCTCCTGAGTAGTTGGGATTATAGGCATGAGCTACTGGCACAGAGCTTTTTCTCTTCCCCCTTTCCTTTCTTCTCTTCTTGTTAGTATAAGAGTGTGAACCCAGAACTTCATGTTTGCTTGGCTTGCTTACTCAGCTGGTACTCTATCACTTGAATCATAGCTCTAGCTTTTTTTTTTTTTGCTAGTTACTTTAGAGAAAGTCTAGCAGATTTACTGCTGAAGAGCTTGTGTGTGGCAGTGGTGTTAGCCGCAGCAGCAAAGCATTTAGCGCAATGTCTCACACCATTTTGCTGGTGCAGCCTACCAAGAGGCCAGAAGGCAGAACTTACACTATAAATCTGTGAATGAATGCATGGAAGGTGTTTGTAAAACGTATGAAGAACATCTGAAGAGAATGAATCCCAATAGCCCCTCGATCACATATGATATCAGTCAGTTGTTTGATTTTATTGACGATCTGGCAGATCTCAGCTGCCTTGTTTACTGAGCTGATACCCAAACATACCAGTCTTATAACAAAGACTGGACCAAAGAGAAGATCTATACTCCTTTGTCTGCAGGCCAAACAGGCTGGGAAATAATTGAATTGGAAGGGCACAGGGGATGGGCTTGGAACAGAGGCATGTACAATGTGCTATAGTGGGAGTTTGTATTACAGTGATGCTGTTTTCATTTTGTTACAGTCTAGCCAAGAGTGAATGTATTAGATCAAATGAGGATCTTTCTATTGAAGGCCCTCATTGTATCTTTTTTCTTTTTCTTTTTTTTACTTAAACATTTTATGATGATTTAGATGGAAGTTGTTCATTGTCAGTTAATGTTGGTTCCAGTCCTTCAAACTGTTCCTATCTACTTTATAACATTCACAAACTAACCCTTCAAGATGGGGTGGGATGGAAACAATTTAGTTATGTACTCAGATAAAGTCTTAGTGCAAAGTAAATAAATGTTTAGTTATTTAAAAAAATTACTGCTGAAGATAGCCTTGATCAGTGACTCTACAGATCTCAGCCTCCTAAATAGTTAGGCCTACGGGCATGAGCCATTAGCATCTGGTTGTCCCTATCTTCTGGACATCTCTTTGCTCTGGCAGTTTACAACTGACTTTTCTTTTTGTGCTAAGGATCAAACTCAGGTATTTAAGCATACCATGCATAGACTCTACCATTGACTATAAATCAGCAGCGCACAATGGACTCTCTTCAGGTTCTGCAAATTAATTTTCCCAATTTTAACCTATGTACTGCTGAAGCAAGCATAACAAGTTGGTCCTCTCTTAGGTAGTCATTGCCTTCTGGCTTTTTCTTCAGAGAGAATGCCTGATAGCCCACTTTCACTCCCTCCATATGACAACTTCTCATTACTTTCTCTTCCATAGAATTCAGTTCTTCCTACCACAGCACTTTACTATAGTCTGCAGTTAACACTGAATCTCTCCCCAATTGGGCTTCTTCCAGAGAGCAGCGAGGATGGTGTCTGTTTCTTTCTACTAAGCATAGAGTGCCTAGCTCAGGGGCAGGCACAGAGGGGAAGCTCCTAAATATTTGTTTGGTGAATCACTGTCATTAACTACCTGTCGTCATCTCAACATTAAGGTTATGTACTAATGGGAAGTCTCACAAGGAAATAAGAGGCAATAACAAATATATAAATTTTATGAAAACCCAACAACTTTGTTTTACAAACATATAAATTATTTTATTTACAAAGCCATGTTACAAAAAAAAAAAAGCAAAAAAAAAAAAAATACAATCTCTCACTGGAGAATATTCCCAGGCCTGGTGCTAAACCATGGCAGTATCCATAGATACATGTTTGTTCTTTTTAAAACTGTAAGCCATAGAATTTACTATTTACACCTACTTCTGACAATTATTCTGCTTACAATATCACAGGCATGGAATGAATTCTATCTGATAGTGCTAATACATAAAGGTGCAGGATAAAGAAGGAAAATACTTAGTGTTACAAAATATGGATTGTAGAAAAGAAACCCCACTCCACAAGTGTGGCATTTGTTTCAAAGGACTGGACATGCTTTCTTCAAAATTCTTCTGGAAAAGGATCTAAAATCGGTAGTAGGAAAGGACAAATGAGCAGGTGCAAATTCTGTGTGTGCAACACGAGTTATTTAATGTACCCCATGACTGGCCAGCTACAGAAAACCCACAGAGTTTTGTTAAAGTGCCGTGGGCCAACAGCATAACAAAATAGAAGGTGTAAATAGAAAATTTCTTTTTTTCCCTTTTTTTTTTTTTAAAACAAGAGTTCACTGAGAATCAGCAATAATAGAATATGCTGTATAAACTATTCTCTACAAAGGTTGATCAGCATTATTTACAATTGGTACATTGATACAAAAGAAGGCATACAAGTTATCCAAGTCGCTTTTTTTTTCTTTTTCTGTTTTTTGTTTTTATGGCTGACAGGTCTATGCACTGCGTTATGCTTACCAACCAGAGCGTTCGAGCCTTCATGGCTGGCGACAAGTCAGATCTTCAGGCGAATAAGGGTGTGTGCAGTCAGGGACTGGGAGAGAAGGCTGAGTGGGGTGTGCAGAAGAGGAGGACCCAAAAGATATCATTCTAATAATGCTTTATAGGCTGGTCCAGTTGAACGCCACGAAAACAAACCCAAATATAACCTTTTTATTTGCATTTGCATTCCATTTTTCAAGCTGCAAGTTTTTTTTTTTAAATACATCATTATAAAGTAAACCTGTGGTTGGTTGCGAAGGAAGAAATACCGTGGGTTTTCCCTTTTTGCTCAGTTTTCCAGAAATGTCCTCACCTTGGTCAAAGCCAGTCTTTCAAGAAAGTAAGCAGCATTCGGTGGGGAGCCTCTATTCCATCTTCCAATTCAGGACGTAGAAGGCTACCATGTTGAAACCTACTAGACTGATCCTTTAGTCTCTGTTGAGACATTATTTCTCAGAAGTAGCCACTTAATCTCTCAACCTCTGTATTCCCTCTTTGAATATACGAAGTTTATAAGTCAGAGGGTTCCTTGTTGCTGAGATTTGTTTTGTTGTTTTACTCCTGCAAGTTGTACAACTCAAAATAAATTATAAAAAAAGACTCTAAAACTGAACAAGACAAAAATTGTGCAAAAATAACAAAGATATGTACATATTTTTCAGTCTGAAGAAATGTACAATAAAAACATAATTCAAAGAACATTTAAAAAATATAAACATTGCTTAAACTTTCCTAAGTTTCATATTGTTTCTGAAACTATTCTGGTCAGTTAGCTCTGTAATATAGTAAAACATAAATTATTACAAAATTAACACTATAAAAATTTACTTTAAGAATATCTTCTAAACTTTTTTTCAAAGGGTCTAACCTTGTTTATAATCTTAAACATTTATAAGTCTTAAAATCTGCCTTATCCTTTTTTTAAAAAGAAAAGTAACAATCGTCCCTTCAATTTGCAGTCTCTTTTTCCCAAGACGTAAATAAACCAGCATATAAGTGCACTTTTAACACTGTAAAAATAAAAAATGAAATCATCCCAACTAAATGTCCTGGTACTTAATAGCAACTCCTGATTTTTTTTTTAAAAAATCATTTTATATTTAAAAAATTTAGTAATTCTATAAGAAACACTGTCAGTGCAATTGCATTGATGTAAATCACTCCATTTGCCTCCCGTCTTTGCGGATTCCAATCACATGGTACAAATTACCAGTAGTCTGATCTTTGGGTTGGGAGAGAGGAAACATAAAGGAAAACTTCAGGGAGAGGAAGAGGGGTGTGTCCAGCTGTGAAACTAGCGTTCATTTCAGATTTCAGGGTAAAGTGGAATCTCTTGGTATCTTTGCTCTATGTCACAGCGTGTTGCCATAAGTTCAGAAGTGCATGGAACACCAGCTTTATGCTGTGAAATTCTGTTGATTATGATCATTAGAACTTAGGATGTTACCACCCTTTTCAAAACTCCAGTGTGGGCTGCTGAAAACTGCAGTGTGCCAAGGTGTCCCAGCTCTTTCGCTGGTTCTTAACCAAGGGGTGGCTTGCTCTTACTACTTCTGTCTCTGAGCTAGGACATATGAGTTGAGGCAAGCTCATTTACGGGTGTGGGTGAGTTTGGCACAAAATTCTCCAAATAAGCTTTTCCTGGAGGATATTCCTGGCCCTGGAGAGAAGCTCCAGAACCTACAATAGCTATGATCACCCCATCATCTCATGGAGTAGCTTTCTTGGACTCTGCTCACCCGGCTTTGGGAACTTGCACACTGCTGTGAAAGGGATTCTTAGCAAGCTCAAACTATCAGTCACCTGATTCCCACATATTTCAAGGAATATTGTCCTCTATGCCCACGATCTGCTTCCTGCCACCTACTCAAGCCCCATCTCTGATTAAACTCAGTAGATCTTTTTTGAGCTGCACAGCTGGATTGTAGTACTGGTTCAGTTACTTCACTATGTATGTGAATGTATGGCCACTGTTCTCAATTTGGCCCTTAGCATTTAGCTGTAACCATGGTGCCCAGGAAGGTATCCCTTTGACTCTCTGGCTCTTTCTACTTCAAACACAAGTTTCTCTTCTAGAGACTTCTTCCCTAAGCACCCTGTCTAGGGGTGGCTGGTGAGAGCAGCACCTTCTGATGGCAGGTGGGGACCAGTGAGGATCAGGTTGGGGATAGGAGGGATGGGATAAGAGAAGGTAAAAGAGCTCTGCATGTGTGATGGTTCCAGAGCTTCCATGGGAGACCAGCCCAGAACCGACATCCGGCTATGTCTGCTCTCAGTGAAGTAGCAACACCAGGATCTGGGGGAGTGACTCCACATTTGGAAGCGTGTGTAAATGTGGCAAATGAAAAATGTAAAGAAAACACTGGGACTGTTTGCTGTCAATCTCAAATGCACGTTCTTTTGCCATTTTCTTTTTCTTCAAAACTGAAATTTGGTCAATGAAGAAGGAGGAGGAGAAGGAAGAAGGAAAAGGAAAAAGAAAAGAAAGAAGAAAGAAGGAGGAGGAGGGGCAAGAAGAAAGAAGAAAGGCCAGAGCCACAGCAGGGTACAGGTAACAGATGCTTGCTCATGGGCCAGTCCCCTTCCCTCCTCTGCGCCACAGCCTCCTAGGGTGCGATCACCACCAGAAATTGTTTTGGAAGTGGCTTCATCATCTTGTTATGGAAGCGTCCTTATTCTGCCCATTCTGTTTGTGTTCTTCTGGGAAAGAAAAGGAAAAAAAAAATTGTTTCAAATTCAAATTCAAATTTGGGATGAACCAAAAAAACTGAAGAACGGAGCCTCATTTTTCTTGTCTATGACTGAAAAAACAATAACCCACCTCTGGTATGTGGAGAAGGGCAGCTGTAATAAGCAAATAAGGTGACAAATATAAGGAACTCCTAAGTGTAGGGTAGTCACAATGGTCCTAGAGCTGGAGGGAAATGCAAGGACAAAGGCTTGGACATATATGGGATACTTCTCCTGGAGAGAGGGCTGCAATAATCTCTTCATATTTTTTATATTGGATTACCTCTTCCTATTGAGGCTATACTTGGACAACAGGGAACTATCTAAGGAAGATATATAGTATTGGGTCAGACAGAGGCTTGGAGATAGAGATTTGGACTCAAGTTACTTAGCTTCTTAGTGCAGCCATATCCATGTATCAGTGGAGTATAATCTTGCCCCTCACAGGGTGGTTGGGAAGCTTCCACATATATGTTATATGTAAAGGGCTTAGTACAGTATCTGCACTCAACAAATAGTGGTGGTTATTGTTTTAGTACTCTTTAAGGCTAGTGTCAGCCTTTGGCTTCTAGCAGGGGTGCTGGACTTTTAGACACACAATGCCATGCTTGTAAAGGTGGAAGTGTGGCTTCCAGCAAGCTCTGCAAGAGAGGTGACCAAGCAGAGACATGAGGAGCAAATGCCACAGCAACTCTGAAGAGTAGTGGGACTCTTCTATTTCTGGGGGAGTATAAAAGGTTTCCTCACAGTCAGTCTATCTCCAAATTTTGCATGAAATTTGGGAGGTCCCAAAGAACAAAACAAAAACACATTGTCTTTAGTGTCTACAAAATATACTACACATCTAAGACAAACATTAGCCCAGTTCTTTTTTTTTTTTTTTTGGGGGGGGGTCCGGTCGTGAGGCCTGAACTCTGGGCCTGGGCACTGTCCCTTAGCTCTTTAGCTCAGGGCTAGCGCTCTACCACTTGAGCCACAGCCCACTTCCGGCTTTTTTCTTTTTGCTTATGTGGTGCTGAGGAATCGAACCCAGGGCCTCAGGCATGCAAGGCAAGCGCTCTACCACTGAGCCAACTTCCCAGCCCTACCTAGCCCAGTTCTTTATATATATTCCAACCAGGTCTATGTGGCACAACCCTCCTCCCTACTCTCTCTAGTTTCTACCCCACATGGCACTCCATTGGAGGAAACGATCAATCTCTGAGCTTATATGTTGACTGATCTCATCCATCAATTGCATAAAAATAGCTAAGTCTGCCCTGAACATTCCCACAGGGAAACCATATGCTGAATGGTAACTTTGCTCACCAAAGACCTTTGAGAAAGCACGGGCTGACATATGCCATGTGAAAGCTCTTAAATCCACATCATCTTGCACAGTTTTCACAACTCGCCTAGGAGGTAGGTATCAATTTTTCCCTTTAACAGATAAAAAAATGGAGACCCAGAGAAGTATCTAAGATCTTACAACTGGCAAGAAGAGCAGTAGCTAACACACTTGTGTGTGTGCCATGTGCCAGGTTTTTAATTTCCAGTGACTTTACATAAATAAACTAATTTAATCTTCACAAATGCCTTAAGAGGTTAAGAGTCATTCTGATCCTCACTTTCTAGGTGAGGAAATAGGAAGAGAAAAGCTAAGTAATTTGCTCAAAGTCTCACACCTCATAACTGTAAGGCCCCAGTTTCAGAAGCCAGATTAAGCATGCTCTTGACTGAGGTGAGATTTGAAACCAAGTCTGACCCCAATGCCTTCCTTTCTGCCTTGATCTTGGCTGTTGTTTGTCCCCCAGCCACGTACCTGTCGGCTGTGTCCTGGGCTGGATATGCTTGAAGGACTGGATTGTGACAAAGCTAGGCTGCTATTTTTCCCAACCTGAAAGACACCAGTGAAGTGTGACTTAGACGCCAGCAGCGGTGGGAAAGACACTTGACAGCACACATTGCTAGGGAGAAGGGATGGGGCTACACAATATTCTCATTCCCTCACATAGCCTAGCATTGGCCTTTCCATCCTCAATGGCAGGAAAAAGAACAATAGTCCCAAGGGTTCCTTGAGGATACCCCCTCTCAGATGAAAATCAGAATGATGGGGAGATTCATCCACTTCTGATCACAGTGCCAGACCCATCTTGTTTCTCTGGAAAGTCTTTAAGCTAGCAGTAGATAAAAGTGTGCATCCACACACATACAGGGTGTGTGTGTGTGTGTGTGTGTGTTGCTTTCTTGCTCATGGCTGGCACTCTACAACCTGAACCATATTTCCAGTTCAGCTTTTGATGGCTAAGAGAGTCTTATGGACTTTTGTGCCCTCAGCGAACTTTGAGCCTTGATCCTCAGATCTCAGCCTCCTGAGTGGCTAGGATTATAGATGTGAGCCACTGATACCTGGCTATCCCACAGCCTCTTATTCTTCAGAAAGCCAGCAAAGGCACCCAGTTGCACGCATGAGTACAAGAGTGGGGGTGGAGTGGGGAAGGATGCTATGAGCTGGGTCCCTGGAGTGATAGACCTGGGACATGTGGCTGTGGCCTTTCCTCTGTGAATGTCCTTGCACATGGGGGCCTGATGCTCAGGGAGCTGACCTTGGACCAGCCCTCTATACCTGTCTTGTTTAGTAAGGCAGCTCTTGCCTTAGGCCTATTAGTGGCTCCTCCTCTACATATACCTGCTTTTGCACACAAAGTTTGCCTTCCACTCAGAGTCTATTTGTATCCAGTCTTATCCTTGGTGGCCAATTCTGGCTGTATAGCTACTAGATATGATTAAATGGCACCTCAAGTTGCCTCTGAACGCCTAATTTATCTTGGACTCCTCTACCTAGTAGCTTGCCTCTCCCAGTCTTCTAACAAAATCCACACAGACCACACAGATCCATGGTGAGACCCTGGACAAAGTCTATTCTCAGTGGCCTGGAGACCAGTACCAAACCACTTTCTGCTTCACAGTAACAGTGCTGAACAGCCCACTGGCAGCTGTGAGCACGCCCACTTTCTTCATTCCCCTTCTGCCGGGCACTGTGTGGTGGAGGCTCATTGACTCTGTTCACCACTGGAGTGGCTGAGTTTTCATGCTGCTTAAGTCGCATAGACGAAATTGCTAACAGAGTATTTATTGCAGAGTCACTACCATATTGCCCTCTCTACTGTATACTTGCTGTGTGACTTTGGGTACCTTGCATAACTTTCCTGGGAGCAATTATTGAGTTCATATATCTAAAGTCCTAGGGACCAAGCACATCAAACACATGTTGCTAGACCTTCATCTGAAATGAGCGAGATATCAAGGCTTTGCTGTTCCGGCTGTGTTCTCAAAATCAGTTGAACAGCCTGCTTGGCAGCATGGTAGAAATACATGGGATATTTCATTTTGAAAAGTCCTTGCTCTGTCCTCTCTCTGGATCCTGAAGGTGGCACTACCCAATTCTGTGGTCTCCAAGTGGGGCTCTGGAGAGCTTCCGTAGACCCAGGTTGACAGCAGAAGATCCCCTCCCACTGTAGCCTTGGCTGCAGCTGTCCAGCCCTGATTCCCCCCTCAAGAAATGCTCTTTGTGGGGCTTTACAAGTCTCATACATAGTGACAGAGAACATCTTTTAACAACTGCCTGCTAACTCTCAAAAGCCTTTATGGCTACACAAGGCTGGCTTTAGGGTGTGGCTGATTGGTTCTGTAGTGGTAAGGCCCAGTTGTGCCCTCTCTTCACTGGTGTCCCCATGGCTGGCTCCCCCACAGGCCTGAGCACTCCACTCTGCCTCTGTTTGCTGGCCAGGGTGGTGGTGGTTTTCCTAAGTAGCTCCCCTAGCTTGAAGAGACAGACTGGACTTGGGAATGGGAGCAGAGCTCTGGGGGAAAACAAAGGTATTCTTGGACCATGCATATCTCCTGGGCTTGCTTATAACATTACATGCTCCTGGGGGGTACCATGCATGGAACACTAGTTGCCAGTTGGTGCGAGGGAGGAAGAAAAGAACTATATTAGGAGGAAGTGGGGGTCGAGGTGGGAACCTGACTGGCAGGCAATGCTTCTCAGGTGGGTCTAGGTACCATGTAACCTGCCCTGGGCTTTTCTGGAGGAGATTCTTTTTTTTTTTTTTTTGGGTTCGGTTGTGGGGCCTGAACTCTGGGCCTGGGCGCTGTCCCTCAGCTCTTGAGCTCAAGGCTAGCGCTCTACCACTTGAGCCACAGCGCCACTTCCGGCTTTTTTCTTTTTGTTTATGTGGTGCTGAGGAATCGAACCCAGGGCCTCATGCATGCAAGGCAAGCATTCTACCACTGAGTCACCTTCCCAGCCCTGGAGGGGATTCTTAACAGGTCAGATCAAACTTCTTAGCAACAGAACTCTTTCCAGAAGCTGTCCTTAGCAGTTTAAGGTATGATGCAGACAGAAGTGGAATAAGGAACTTGGAATCATTGTGTCTCTATTTATCCATCTGTAAAGCAGTGGCAACTGTACCCACTAGGCTACGTGGGTACAGCATAAGGAGGTAATCACTGCAAAGGGCTTAGCACAGAGCCTCATGTACACCTAAAAGTCTTAAAAGCATTTATGAAAAGAACCACTATGCTCAGAGCAGGGGTATGAATGGTCCACAGGGAAGGAGAAAAGGAGCCACACTTGTGTTACCTGCCTGAGCCACCTGGCCGAGCAGGGGCATTGCCCAGCTCCCCCTGCCCCCCAGAGCTGATGAAGGCAGTGCCAGGAGGTCCCTTACCTGCCGAGAGGAGGTGCTGTTAACGGGATCGGGCACCGGTGCAAGAAGACTGGGTGGGTTCTTTTTGTGAACGCTATTCATACCAGGCATTTTAGTGATTTTACAGGCTTTGCTACTAGTACTTGAGTTCTTACGCTTTTTTCCTTCTGATTTGTCAAAAGAAAGGGGCAGAGAAGACACGGCATTGTGTGAGGCCAGAGAGAGATCCCCCGTGTGGAGCGCAAGGGAGGGCACCGAGAGGGGACAGGAGTCACTGCTGCCGCCCACCGCGCCCACCTGTCTCACTATGTCCACGGGGCCGCCGGGCAGCGAGGTCCGTCCTGAGGGCTCCAGCTTGGCACTGAGTGGGCTCACCCCATTGTTGGAGTTGTGCACAGACAGACTGTTATAGGGAGGGGCTGCCTGATAGGAGTTCAAAGCAGAACTGGCATTGAGAACACAGTTCTTTTTGTGGGGCCCTGACAATGGCGACGATGAGAGGGAAGTCTGCAAGGACAAGGAGGAAGAGGAAGTCGAAGACTGTGGCTTCCTCTTTTTGTTACTTGGAGACTGGTCGCTACGGGCAGACAGGTCTTTGACTTTTGAGGATTTGCTGGTTTTGGTTTTGGATGGCTTGTGGGATGGGGAAGGGATGACAGCTGGTATCGGGGACACGGCGGATGGAGCCTTGAAGGTTGAGTCCATGATGCTGAGGGTAGCGGCCACATGAGGGAAAGCTGTGGTGTGGGACATGAGGACACGCGGGTCCGGCGATGCCACAAAAGCTGCGTCTGAGAGCATGGCTGATGTCATTATGTAAGAAGAGGTGAGTCTCGAGCTGATGGGAGCTGAAGGAAGATACACAGCACTGGGGTTGCTGAAAGGCTGCAAAACGGATGCTGGAACAGGGGTGGTGATGTGGGCTGCTGGCGAGGGCATGGGGGTATCTGCCGCAGGAGGGATCTTCCTAAACATGAGAGAAGAGCCAGAGAGAAACAGTGAGACATCGGCTTGGCATCGCTCGGGAGGTAGGATGAAGTCTGAGTGTCAGGGCTACAGAGAACACCCCGGCAGAACCTGACCATGGAGAATGAAGCCTTGGAAGATGAGGAGGTCTGAAGGATGGCCCTTGCTTTATGCTGCCCCCATTGCAACATCCAGCCTCTATTTCACTACTTTGAGGTATTCGCATCCTGTTCTTCACGCTTAACTATTGGAATATGGCTGATTTTGGTTTATGAACAGAAGGCAAATGTTATTGAGAATATAAACATCCCTAGCAATCTTCCTCTACGTGTGTGTGTGTGTGTGTGTGTGTGTGTGTAACTGGCAGTGATAAAAGTGGTCCTCTTTCTTATCCTATTTTTGGCTACAGACATTCTGGGAACAGCTCTCTCCCTGGTCAGCATCTTCCTGTGATTGCTACCTGCAGACCCTGTGAGACTGGACTATATCCATGTTGGCTCATGGGGACCTCTCCTCCATAGCAGGTCAGGGGCTTGGGAAATGATGTCAAGTTCCTCCTACCCAGGAGTTACACTATACATCTTCCTCTTCACCTACCCTACCTTAGCTCTCACTGGAGGGGTTGTGATGGCTCTTCCTGTCCTGTAGGCAAAAGGGAAGAGTCCAAAGAGGGGGATCAGGAGCTTCAAGTTTAGTAGAGAAGTGCAGGATAGAGGGGCATCAGGAGAGCATAGAGATGATGGGGGAGAGAGGATTCTTTCTGCTTGTTTTCCCTGGAACTTAAGTAGGGGTGCTGAGAACAAACTTCTTGGAGTTGAGCTCAGCACCAAGAAGGGATCATTCTTGGGGCTTCTCTTTAAACTTTTTTTTTTTGGCCATACCAGGGTTTGAACTCAGGGCTTCACACTTGTTAGGCAGGTGCTCTACCACTCAAGCCACACCTCCTGGAAATAGCTCCTACTTCCATCTACTCCCTGAGGGGATGCTGCTGGGGAGGGTAGAAGTGCGGGAGGGATTAGTGCATAGCAGCTCCCATCCTATGAGCAGCATTAAAAGGTAAGGTGGCCTGGGCTTGCACCTCCCTTGGTAAACCTGGATCACTGTGTGGGACAGTGCCTCTTTCTCTGGAGCTACCCCATAGATGTTGCACTCATACAGCTCTGGACAGAGACCCCCCCGGGAAATAAATAGCATTCTCTCTGAAGATCCCTTCTCTGCCTGTACTCGGTGGAGCCTGGGGGCTTCTAACTTTAGTGGACTTCTTGAATATAGTACAGTGTCCTGAAAGTATCAGGCCTAGGAGATCAAATATAAGAGAAAAATGCTGCCAAACCCATAGCAGCCATCATGGTGTATGAGAATTTCCTTCCTCTCAAGCCTAAAAACTTATACTAACCAAGGTACTCCACGAATACTTGTTGCAATGAATAAATGGGTGGATGGATGGATGGATGAATGGGGAGGTGAATGGGTGAGCAGGTCAATCTCAGCAGCAAGAAAACACTATTGTCAGGGACTATGCATGCTGGGCAAGGACTCCCACAGTCAGACCAGGATGGTCTGCACACATCCTTACAACTGCCTGGTACTGCACAGCCCCTTCAGAACAAGGCTAGGGTGTGTCTTAGAATGTGAAGCATCAGCAAGGTTTTTTGCTAACTTTGCTGCCTTGCCTTGGCTCTACAGGTATCCCACTGGCCCTTCCTTGGCTCAAGTATCCCAGACAGTTTCGGGAGAAGGAAATGACCGAGGTTTGGCAGTGACTTGTAATAAAGGATTATTTACAAATACTAGATGGCTCATTAGTGAGATCCCCACTTGATGACATTGAATGGGATTCACTCATAACTTATATTTTTCTCATTATATACTACTACTAATCTATGCTTCAACTGTGTTGATAAGCACAACTGAATTCTAGAGTTTACCTATCCTTTGTTCCGAATTGGGAAGGGTAGTGGTGGTACTTTAAGCATATTTGCTAGCTCTTTCTTTCCTCTTTCTCTACTGATCCTCAGGGGGTAGCAGGAGCAGGAGGGAGCCAAGACAGGAGAGAAGTGAGACGAGGGGGTGTTTCTGGAAGCCCCCTTGTCCCCACAATAAATAGTTTATGTGTTTTCTAGGTGCCAGATGGCAGTGGACTTTGGCTTGGCTGGCTGTGCTTGGGTTTAAGCTTCTCACACTAGCCTAGGGAAGTCCCACACAAAAGCCCACAGATGCGAATGAGTTCCTGACAGTGCCCATCCTCCCCTGACAGCTGGCATGGAGATCCAGATGCTGACCTGGCTGAAAGAGAATACTGTGTTGGCGTCTCCTGATGCAGAGTTAAATGCTTGTTAAAGAAAAAAGAGTCTTTGCCGTTCCTTTTCTTCCTAATGTCTTCAATGCCCCCATCGGCTGCCATCCCTCCAGGTTCGGGCCCGTCGGGGCCTGGAGTTTGGGCAGCGAGGCTGAGAGGGCAGCGGGGTGCTACGCTCTCCAGAGTTGACACCCAGGCAGCCCCAATGTTGCTCAGTGACAGCAGATTGGTTAGGCAAGTCCTGAACAGGGGGGAGGGACCTGATGCCCGGTGGCTCGGGCTTCTGTGCCTGAGGAGGAAAGGAATATGGAGCTTGAGCTGACAAGGACACCAGGGAGTGAAATACAGATCAACACATTCCTTCCACGTGTCCAGGGTTTACACTATCACAACACAGGGGAGCAGGGAGCTGTGAGGAATTGCCAAGGCTGACGATTTGGGAGGAAACATCATGGAAGGATAAATCATCAGATAACTGAGAACAAGTTAGATTCTCCCAGGCAGTGCCTCTCTGTTGCAGTTTTGAAAGGACATATGTGGAAATCAGGAGTGCCCTTTGGACACACTGGGCAGTCACTCACATGGGAAGAAATGATAAGCTTCTCTTTTGGCCCTTTCTTAAGTTTATAGGAAGTGTTAACATTTGTTCCAAGCCCCTGAAAAAGCTTGATGCAGATCCAGTGGGTTCAGATGCCACAGCAGCCTGGGGGCAGAGGGAAGCCTAGGGGAGGGGCAAGTTATGGATTCTGTTACTTCCATTTTTCAGGAATATTGTTCTGGCCTCTCCTGGGCCTCACGTGTGTGTGTGTGTGTGTGTGTGTGTGTGTGTGTGTGTGTGTGTGTGTGTGTGTGTGTGTGTTTGTGTAGGGTCTCAATTGTTGGCTTCTTCTGGTAATAAGAGGACCCAGACTGAAGTGAATCATGACATTATGATATCTAGAATTCCCTTTATAGGAGTAGGGGTATGGAAATACTCAGAGGTTGGCCTTCTATTATCAAGTGGCTTCTTATGTATTGTTTGAGAGGTCCTAGCCTGTTCTTCATGATAGTATTCCACCAAATTGAAGCTTTTTCTCTTTTTGTAAATCCCTTATTAAAATAGGACATTGGGAGGTGTGGGAGAATAAAGGGTGCATAGAGAAATGGAACAAAGCCAGAGTTTAGGGGAGAGAGAAGGCCAAGCAGAGGTGAAGAGGGAGCCCTACAGAGACAGGAAGGGCCAAAGACAAACTTAATCAACTTCACAGCACTATTTAGGATCTGCCCTGTTGGCAACTGTACACATTTTCCCACAGGATAGCAAAGAACTAGAAATTGGTCTGTAACCATCATGAAATTTTTAGTATTGCTACTGTAGCATTAACATTACAAACAGAAGCACATTCCTAATATCCTTAGAGGCTCTCAGAGTAATATAAAGGCCCTATAACAATGCTAAATAAGATTTCATCTCGTATCCTTTTCACTATGTTTAGATTAATCAACACAAAAGTGATCTTTAAAGGAGACAAAGCATATAGCATATTATAGGTGTTTTTAAAAATCTCAAGGCAAACCATTAAGAAGAGTTGACATTTAAGAATTAATCACGAATCCTGATTTCAGACTCATTTTGGTCTGACATTTATTCTGAAAGTTAGGGTTCAGGTAATTATGGGGCAGCTCTGATCTTGTATTGCACAGAAACTGCTCACTTACTTCCACATCTGTGAATTCAAGTGTTTTTCTACCATGGAGTTTAGGGCGAATCGAAAACGATCCCATCTTCTATCAAACACATAGTACCCTCGTCCCATGAGGCGACTCCCGAATGAGCAAAACTGTGAGGAAAAAACACATTTTAATTTTGATTACAGGTTAATAAGCTAATATAAACCATACAGAGAAAAATAACATTTGCATAAAAGCACACAGGGGTACCATTTTATACTCAAAATAAAGATGCAACTAAGTACGGAAGCCAAAAAAATCTTTCTGTGACGCTGTAGTTTGAGCTCTGGATTCTCTGCAGAACCTCACATTATAATCTAGCAATTGCTGCATTAAGTTTCCTGTGGTGCCGAGGGCCACACTCTCTACTCTTGGGGTTGAGCCATCCTTTTAGATTAAAAGCAAACAAGCACTAACAACCAGCAGCCAGTGTGGCTTTGCATCTCTTTGTCACATCATCCATTTTTCTTTCTTCCTTCTCAGCAATAGAAATGGCAGATTCTGGTGATCTGGGCCACACCTTCCTAGCCAGTGTCACAGAGTCATTGCACTTATCATTTACCTTGGCAGGCTTCCCTGGGACCCATTATGCTTCTGGACTCTCACACATACCTTTCCCCCATCAGCAGTCCTGTTCCTCCTGTCAGGGGCTTAATCGTGACGCTCATTGCCAATGGTTTCACACGACTGATCTTCCCATGTTAGACTCCTATGGTACTTCTATTGTGCACCTATTACATTTTACCTTGGAATCAGTGTGTGTTTTATGTATGCATGCCTGCATATCCAGTGACTATATATAAAGAGTGGGCACCCTGTTCTCTTCCTTCTCAGTATGAGGATCATAGAGATTGGGAACAAAGAGTAGATTGGTGTGGTTGACTGAGGAAGGAAGATTGCAAATTCAAGGCCAGCCTGAACTACATAGCAAGACCCTGTAACAAAAGGAGAGGAAAAAACAAGACAATGGATTGGAGAGAGAAGGTCCCATAAAGATGTTTAAAGCAAACTGTTGCATCTAAAACATACAGCTAGCTGGGTGCTGGTAATACCTGTAATCCTAGCTACTCAGGAGTCTGAGATCTAAGCATTGTGGTTCAAAGCCAGCCCGGACAGAAAAGTCTGTAAAGTCTGTAAGACTCTTTAGCTTTATCTCTAGTAAACTATTCAGAAAAAGCTGGCACTGTGGCTCAAGTGGTAGAGTACTAGCCTTGAGTACAAAGAGGCTCAGGGGACAGCACCCCGGCCATGAGTTCAAGCCCCAGGACCAACAAAAATAAAATAATATATATATATATATATATATATATAATATATAATATATATATAGCTGAAATATATAGGCATTCAGATGTTTAATAAACAGCATTTGATTTGAAGGTCAATGCACAGAAATACAAGTAGCCGCCTCTGAGAAGATAACATTTGGCTATTCTAGAGCTCAGGCAAGTCTGCAAATGACTCTATAACTCACATGCAGCTTTTTCCCATCCTCGGGGCCTGCAGCAGCAACCTGGCTTCCATCCCAGACCCAGTGCTGGATTGGCACCCATTCCACAAAGTCATCCTGGAGCCAGCCTTTGAACAGTTCTCAGGAAGAAATGTAAGGCTTTTCCTTTGTTCTATTTCTGCTTGTGTTTTGGGGACTTTGCATTAAAATCTTGCCACCCATCAAAGCTGGTACTATGGATGAAAAACAATTTTCTGCACCTTCCTATTAAGTTCAAGCAGGAATACATAAAAGGGTTTCTGGTTCTCAGCTACAAGTGGAGCTGTTCCAGGTTTAGACATAATTTCTTCCTTTATCCCAATTGCTAAGGATACATTGGGTGAGTGCTCATTACAATAACATGATTTAAAGGCCATGAGAGAGAAGATAACACAGAGACAAATCCATGGCTGTTCCATTTAATGAACATCACATTAAGGGCCCATGAATGTGTTGTGTCCAGGGCTTAGCTAACCCACTGTTGCAGCCTGTCCTTTGAACAAATGTCTTGATGCCCTCTAGAGTCTGGTGTTCTGGCAGAGCCTTGTATCTCTCTCAGACTTCAGGAATGGATAGCACCTTTTGGTTTTGGTTATCTATGTATCTAATGCCACATAGATGGAAGGCTAGATGGCCAGGGAGGCTCCTGTTTCTGGAGATGTGTGGTGTGCCCTCAGCAGAACTGCCGAGCGTCCAGGTGGGCACAGTAGCTACTGCTGCCGCCGTCTACCTCACCCACTGCAGCCAATCTCAGTAGTCACACTAGCTCAGACTTTCCCTGGCCAGCAGACCACATCACTGTTCTGATAGGTGAGGTAGAACAGTAACAGTGAGAATGTGTCTCCTTCTGGAACCTTGGGAAGAGTCATAGCTGGTTTCACCCTGTGTCTTCTGCAACCCCTTTTTTTGGTGTGTGGGGGGTCAGTTGTGGGGCTTGAACTCTGGCCCTGGGCGCTGTTTCTGAGCTCTTCAGCTCAAGGCAAGCACTCTACCACTTGAGCCGCAGCTTCACTTCTGGTTTTCTGGTTGTTTACTGGAGATAAGAGTCTCATGGACTTTCCTTCCCAGGCTTGCTTTGAACTGTGATTCTCAGATCTCAGCCTCCTGAGTAGCTAGGATTACAGGCATGAGCCACTGGTGCTTGGCTTCTGCAATCCTTTTCTTCCCTGCCATCCTTCAGGGTGTGTGTGTGTGTGTGTGTGTGTGTGTGTGCGCGCGCGCGCGTGTGTGTGTGTGTGTGTGTGTGTGTGTGTGTGTGTTGTGACTTTCTTCTGGTAGATACAGGAAAAGCCTCTCTCTCTCTCTCTCTCTCTCCTCTCTCTCTCCTCCCCCCCCCCCCCCCCAGCCCTGGTATTCTGATACTAGTGTTTGAACTCAGGGACTCGCCCTTGCTAAGGCTGTGTGATACTGCTGTGCTATGTCTCCAGTCCCATGAAGGTTTCATAAGATTTTTAAAAAGAGAAAAAAATATTAAGAGATCACAGCATCTTGGGAGACTCCTTTTTCATCCTGTGTGGAACCTCACTGTGAGGATATGACACTGGAGTTGTAGCAGATGTACGACACATGAAGGGCAAAGGTGGCCACAGAAGTTGTCATGCAGTACCATGACATTGTGAACAGATCAACACAAACTTGGAAGGCCCTCGGTCTTGTTAGGTGAAATAATTAAATGTCTTTCATGTGTAGTAGTTGGGTTTTCTACTAGTTGCAGGCAAAGACACTTGAGATCATCCCTGACTATTTTTGTATTTGCTAAAAGGTACTCTCTAGCTGTAGGTAAGTCATAGGCAACCAATAACCTGAGAAATAGAAGTAGATTCAAACTTCAGTCATCACAGTGATGTGGGAAGAGAGCCTTGCTCTATCTTGATGCAGGACTGACATCACTCACCCAGTCCCTGAGATCTATATATGGTCATTTATAATAATAATATTATTATATATATTTTTTTGGTTGGTTGTGGGGCTTGAACTCTGGGCCTGAGTGCTGTTCTTGAACTCTTCAGCTCAACGTGAGCCCTGTACCACTTCAGCCACAGTGCCATTTGGGTCTATGTTCCAGCTCACTGCATTCAGCTCTGTGATGGTCACAACCAGGCACCACCCGTCTCAAGGGCTCATAGGTAAATGCAAACCAGCTTCTAGCTGGTGCCTCAATTTCCCCACTTTGATTTCAAACAATTTGAATTGCTAAAGTGGACTCATTCAAGCAAATCGAATGAAAGTGCCCTTTTTGTTAATAGCAGACATGTAGGTATGTAATGTGTGCTCTCTCTCTTTCTCAGTTCTGGTGCCATATGGCCATAATTACTAATAACAGTAAGACTTAGAACCATCAGGGAAGCACATCAACATGTAAGGAGGGCTGGTACCTTCCTTACATGCTGTCAGGGCAGTTTCACCAGCAGGTGCACTCAGCTAATTTTGGACACCAGGAGCTCCATTTTTAGATGGGCACAGCCAGAAGGTCAGCTCCTGAGTGCACTTATATAAACAGTGTCTCAAGCATTTTCACTTCCAGGTGGATCACAAATGCTCAGGTATTTAAAAGATCCAAACCAACTGGGAATCCTTTCCTTCACTCAAGTGATGTTCAAGTGCGTTTCTAATAGTCATTGTTTGACCTTTGGATAAACCCTTTAGTTCAGTTCTGCACTGCACCCTCTCCTTAGGAATGCAGGCCTCTGCGACAATTGCCAGGGTGCCTTTGAGGTACAGAGGACCATGCAGAAGGGAGACGAGGCCTACCGCAAGAGGTCTGGGGTGGTGTGTAGAGAACTGACAGTCTAATTTCTCAGATTCCTCGGCTCCATCCATCTCTCCTTCATCACTGGACAGTCGGCTGGCAAGGTCACCTCCTACTGGGGGTAGAGGAGGCTCTGGAGTGTAGCTGCTGAGATTTGAAGATGCATTGCTGCTTATGCTATTTGCAGATGATGGTCTAAAAGCAAGGGGAAAGAATAAACAGAATCAACTTTTCAGAGGAAACATGACCCATCCAGTGTCATGATGCCCAGATTAGCCTTAGTATTGTGTCAGGGAAGGCAGGTCGATGATAATGTTGTAAAAGAAGGCAGAAAGCTTAAGTGATAGCTTTGTTAGAGGAGTTAGGTTCTCCTCTGCTTGTTGTCTCTGAGGTGAAACTATTCGGTCATTTGTGTGTAAGTAATTTGTACTTGTCATAATTTGCTTCTCTTTGACAGTGAAATCTGACAGGCTGACCTTCCAACCAGGTGAACAAGAGCAGACCACTCAACAACAAAATATCAGTCATGAAGAAACAGTCTTGTAAATACTGTCTTCGCTATTTTTGGTGGAGTAGCAGTGGTGGTACTGGAGTTAGAACTCAGAACTTTGACTTAGTCAATAGCCTGTTTTGCTTTAGTTATTCTTCAAATAGAATCTTGCTATTTTGCCCAAACCATGATCCTCTAACTTCACTTTGTGAATAGCTGGTGACAGGTGTGAACCACATCTGAAATTTTCTTTTTGTGCCAGTACCGGCCTGGGTGCTCTCTCTTACCTGTTTTTGCTCAAGGCTAGTACTCCATTCCTTAAGGCACAGCTCTACTTCTGGCTTTTTAGTGGTTAATTGTAGAGAAAAGTCTATCATAAGCCAGGCACTGGTGGCTCAAGCCTGTAATCCTAGCTATTCAGGAGGATGAGATCTGAGGATCACAGTTCAAAGCCTGCCCAGACAGGAGAGTCTATGAGACTCGTATCTCCAATTAACCACCAGAAAACCAGAAGTGGCGCTGTGGCTCAAGTGGTAGAGGGCTCTCTTGGAGCTGAAGAGCTTAGGGACAGCACCCAGGACCAGACTTCAAGCTATATGACCACCACCACCACCACCAAAAAAAAAAAAAGTCTATCATTGACCTGGGCTGGCTGGGAACCACAATCTTCAGATCTCAATCTCCTGAGTAACCAGGAATATAGGTGTAAGCTACTGGCTCTAGGTTCTGGGTTTTTTTGTTTTTTGTTTTCTTCCAGATATGGTCACACTAACTTTTGTCTGGACTGGTCTTGAAGCAATGCTCCCATCTCTACATCTTGTTGTAGATGGGATAACAGTCATGAACCCCCGATGCCCAGTCCCTCTTTCTTAGTTATTAAACTATGATTTTATGAAACTTATCCCACTGGCATGAAGCAAGGTTCTGTCTCAGTAATGGGGCCACTAGTCCTGTACCCTAGTTATACTTGTTTCGAAATATAGAGCTGTATGTAGCTTAATAGTATCTTCTGGGAATAAGTGTTTCAATTTATGTATGTATGTATTTATTTTTGTTTATTTATCTTTATTTATTTTTGTTGTGAGGATTGAACTCCGGCCTGGATGCCATCTCTGAGCTTTTTTGCTGAATGCTAGTGCTCTAGCACTTTGAGACACAGCTCCACTTCCTATTTTCTGGTGGTTAGTTGGAGATAAGTGTCTCAAGGACTTGCTTCAAACCATGATCCTCAAGTCTCAGCCTTCAGAGTAGCTAGAATACAGGCACGAGCCACCAGTACAGAGGGGTTACAATATCAAGAGCAAGGTAATGAGTACATTTCTTATCAAGCATTGTTGCCTCTTCCTTTGTTTCCTCTTCCAATCTCTTCCTCCCCCCCCCCCCCCTTTCATTTTAATTTTTGACAAGCCATAAATTTACTGCCTGGCATGGCTGGCTTATCGTTGGGTGACAGAGAGATTTTTTTTTTCTCAATGAAGGAATGCAGGAATTCTATGAGACAGTCTAGCAAATGTTCTTTCAGTTATGTTTTCAGTGAAAACAAAACAAGGTAAACCCATCTATGTTAGCAGAAAAGTCAGAGAAGGGAAAGTTGTTCTTTGTAGTTTTTACTACTTTGTCATTTTCATCCAGTGGCTGACCAGGGCGAGTGGTAAAGACATGAGAAAAGAAGTTTTAGGGGAATAGAAATCAAGAATTTTTTAAAAGGCAAATTGTTTTTCTGCTTTGAAAGCTACCCCTTCAAATCACAGGAAACAGTGCTTTTGATTTGTCAAGTTTCCTTCTTGTTTTTATCCTGGATTCTTTGTTGTCTTGAAATCTTTTCAGGTATCAGACAGCTGAAGGCAAACCTGATTCCAAAAGCAGAGTAGTCACTATTTTTAAAAACAAAGCCACAAAGGTGGGAACCCCCAAAATGCCCACCAACAGCCGAACAGATAAGCAAAGTGTGACGTAAATAAACCTGCCCAAAGGACAATAGTGTCTGATTCCACTTATATGAGATAAAAGAATAATTATCAGCCAGGTGATGGTGGCTCACACTTGTAATCCTAGCTACTCAGGAGGCTGATATCTGAGGATCACAGTTTGAATCCAGCCTGGGCAGGAAAGTGACACTCTTCTCTCCAATTAATCATTAAAAAGCCTGAAGTGGCGTGGCACTGTGGCTCAAGTTGTAGAGAGCCAGCTTTGAGCAAAAGGAGCTTAGGGACAACTCCCAGGCCCAGAGTTCAAACCCCAAGATCAGCAAAAACAAACAAACAAACAAACGGTAATTATCAGCTAGAAGAGGGAGGAATGGGCTGGGCACTGGTGGCTCCACTTGTAATCCTAGCTTCTCAATAGGTTGAGGTCTGAAGGATCACAGTTTGAAGCCAGGCCAGGTTGAAAAACCTAAGAGGCTTCATCTCTCAAATAAACAGCAAAAAGCTGGGCTAGAGGCATGGCTCAAATGGTAGTGCCAGATAAGCAAGCAAGCTGAATGAGTACAAGGCTGAATGAGTGCAATGATGAGTACAGTTCAAACCCCAGAATGACACATATAACAAGTTTGGCTTAGATGGTTGAACACTAGTCATGAGCAGGAGAGAGAGGAATGCAGAGTTAGTGTTTAATGGGTACAGAGTTTCAACTGGAGTGGTAAACTCCCACACTATTGTACTATGGTGTATAATGAGCAGAACAAAGGTAAACAAAGCTACAGGTAGCTTTTAGCTTTGTCATTATAAAAATTTGGTTAGGAGAACAATTTACTATTGACGTTGACATTCCCGTTCCTATTTTTTAAAAAAAGGATTCAGATTGGGGGTCTAGATGAAATGGTAGAGCACTTGGTTTCAGGCCCTGGTTTCAACCTCCAAGCCCACCAAAAATATAGTAAATAAGAATTAAAACAAGGATGCATTTGGCCTGCATAGGCCTATGGTCCAAAGCAGACGTCTGGCCCTTCATCCCTGCTCTTTTGTGTCAGAAGGAAGCTACACTATTACCTATTTCTAGCTGGAAACCAAAATAGTAAAACCATTCTGATGATGCTGAAACAGAAAGAAAACAGCATCCAGAAATCCTATCTTGCCACTCAAGATCAGGTACTACTGGCATTTTGGTTTTTGTCCTTTCAGATTTTTTTTTTTTTGTGGGGGTGCTGGGGATTTTTTTTTTTGGGGTTTGAACTCAGGGCCTGGGCACTCTCCTGAGCTTTTTTGCTCAAGACTAGTGCTCTACCACTTGAGCCACAGCTCCATTTCCGACTTTTTTTTTTGGAGGGGATTGGGGGTACTTAATTGGAAATAAGAGTCTTACAAACATTTTTACCTGGGCTAGCTCTGAGCCAAAATCCTTAGATCTCAACCTTCTGAGTATGTACATACTATTTTTTTACGCTTAGTGATATTGTAGAAGTCTTCTAAAGTATTATCAGTTTTTATAGTTTCCAATAATCCCTATCTGTCACATTTTACTTAAATCCTCTCATGAAGAGTGTTTGTTTCCAAATGTTTTAATAAGCTCCCATTGAACCCCTCACCGTCACAGCAGGACCTCCAGGTCCTGCAGGATGAAAGTGAGCTGGACTTTGTTAAATGCAATAATAGCATCATGGTTATACAGGAAGTTATCTTTACTCTTTTTTTTTTTTTTCTGGATGTAGGACTGGAACTCTGGGCCTGGGTGCTGCCCCACAGCTCTTCAACTCAAGGCTAGCACTCTACAACTTGAGCCACAGTGGTTTTCTGAGTAGTTTATTGGAGAGAAGAGTTTCACAGACTCCTGTCCAGGCTGGCTTTGAACTACAATCCTCACATCTTAGTCTCCTGAATAGCTAGGATTATAGGCATGAGCCACCAGCGCCACCCTGGCTCTTAACTTTTTTTTTTTTTTTTGGTTGGTCATGGGGCTTGAACTCCGGGCTTGGGCGCTATCCTTGTGCTCCTCAGTTCAAGGCGAGCACTCTATCCCTTGAGCCATAGCACCACTTCAGGTTTTCTAGTGGTTTATTGGAGAAAAGAGTTTGACAGGCTTTCCTGCCTGGGCTGGTTTTGAACTTCGATCTCTGCCTCCTGAGTAGCTAGGATTACAGATGTGAGCCATCAGTGCCCAGCTTGGCTCTTTACTTTTTAAAGATGCTTTTAGAAGCTGTTACAGGTAAAATGCCATGATATCTGCAATTCAAAATACATTATCAAAATATGTAGATGAGGCCATTATAATTGCAAAGTATCCTTATAGCAACTGTTAAAATTAGGTATGTGGGTGTTCATGATACTATTATCTCCACTTTTTGGGAAATTTTCATAACAAAAACTAAAACACAAAAATGGTTCATACAGGTATACATAAAAAAGTTGCTAAAGAACTTCCTGGTTTTTTTTTTTTTTTGGTATTTTTATTTTTTTCAGCTTTAATGGTTATGTATGCTTTATATAAATGAAACCACATATATTTAAGGCATATAGTGTGATGGTTTCATATATATGTATATATATGAACTATAATCAAGTTAACATATTGATCACGTTTAGTAGTTACTTTTTTTAATGGAAAATTCTTAAGATCACTTTCTTAGCCCTTATCAAATATAAAACAGAGTATTACTAACTATAGCCACCATGCTATATATTACATTCCTAGAACTTTTTCATCTTATGACTTGAAGTTGCCCCGCACCTCTTCAGACTTGAGCACTCTACCCTGTTTCTATGAGTTG